GCAGAAGGAGGCGTTTTGCAGGATCTGTGTCATCAGCACCTGCAGTGCTGATGATAGCAAGTGACCACAACTTACCTATGGCCTCTCCTGGAATCCATGTTCTTACACTACAGTGAACCTTCCCGCAACTCTTGCATATCACAGAAGCACAACTTTTGATAATTAGAAAGGAATTCAATGATTCTTTCAGAGAACCCAGTGAAACTCACTACACAACCAGGGAAAGCTGAGAGGAGGGAGGAGTGAATGTAGCACAAGAAGCCCGTGAGGAGAAGTGTCCCCTTGGATCCAGGCAGGGACAGATTCTCACATGGATGAGAAGATGGCTGTCTACATCGTGTTCTCAGGAAATCAGGACAACTTTTCTTCCCCAAATCGTGTTTCTCTACCTTTACCTTCTCTAAAATGCTTTAAATTATGTATCAAGGACAAAAACTGTGTTTCCACAAATAACTTTTTTGAACGTTGGTGCCTAAACACAACTTAACCACAATGTACATAGATAATATTAGCTCCTTTCCTGGAAGCAGATTTTCAGGTATAGAAGATTAAATTAGAATACAGGCCCAGCTGATGCAACAAAGGCCAAAATAAAGTAACTTATCATATAGTTCAAATATCAGCAGATCAGGGCTCCATACTATTGGCGTCTTAGGTATCTGATTGCTGTGCACCCTAAATACCCTCTCTTATTTGTGGTCTAAGACATATTTCACACATACAGCAATCCTCACAACAATCTTTCCAATTATCTCAATTTCATTAATTGAGATGAGGCACATAGAGTAGAAATGGCATGTCTAATGTCATATAGTTACTTAGAGGAAGAATCAGAAACAACCTATGCTTCCTAGTTCTTAATTCAGCTCTCTTTCCACAGAGTTCTTGAAGTGACATAAAAGCAGGAAGAAAAATAAATATTATGAAGATAAATTTTCCAGGATTTCTAGTTTTTCCTGAAGTTTATCTGGTTATAAGGAGTATTTTCCAACAAACAGGAAAAAGGAATGCTAGACTTAACTTTTCTTTAAGTCAAAACAGAACTTCTAAAAAGGCACAGTTGCTGCCTCTTAGCCACCTTAAAAAGGAGGGAAAATATGAATTCCCATTTCCCCTCATAACTCTCCTCCCATCACCACCACCAATCACTGCCACATGACAAAAGATTACTATCTAAGAGCTAGCTTAGCCTTGGAGAATTTTCCTGAGAAGGAGATAATCTTGGGTGTTGTATCTCTTTGACTAAGAAGTAGTTCCATTTGGGTGGGGAAATGATATCAACACGTGTGCAGCCTGGGGAATGACTGGAGGGAAACGTTTGTTCACCACTGCATCTGCAGGGATGATACCGATGGCCAGCACATAGTGGAAACTCCACAAATAATCACTGAGTGAATAAGTGAATGGCTAAATGAACAAATAAGTCATAATTGTGTAAAAAGCCTTTTTTCCTTTGCAGGACTTGCATAAAACATATCAATAAGTATCAAAGGCAGAAACAGGCCACCCACAGCCAGGTCAATGGTGTAATGTGCTAAAAATATCCCAGGGGACATGAATTTCCTTTGGAGTGAAATAATGATGGTGGCTGAGGGCTTACCTAGAATTATGGCAACTGTATACTTAAATCTAAAACAGATACCATGGTTTCTTGAACACAAATGTATTTGGGACAATAATGGTACAGAGCACCGCCACTCTTAGACCTGAGTAAGTGATGTTCCTGCTCTGAGTTCTGTGCCTCCACCCCAGCCATCACTCAGCTGTTCCTATCCCTTTCCCTATGAGAAAATCACAGGACAAAGGAGACATGGCCCTTTAGAGTCTAAATACTTCTTCTTGACCATACTCTGGGTACCCAGGACTTCAGAATTCCCTGTACAAACATCCCCAGACCCATTTTTAAGATCTGCATGAGCCTCTTTCAAGGTTTATCTTCCCAGAAGCAGCTATCCCACCAGTGTGCACAACTCTAGGCCCAGTGGGTGGCCAAAAGATCACTGTTTGCCTGGATTGTAGGCATGTGGGCTAAGGTGTCCACATCATTGTGTGTAAGGCTCCTCAAAGTATGTGAGGGAGTGAGGGATAGGAAAAGAAGCAGGTAAATTATAAGATACACACCAAAAGCTGCAGGGCGAATCTCCCTAAAGCAGCACATTTTCGCACAAAACTACAAAAATCAAGAGTTCAAAAGTGGATCTGGGTATATGTAGGAATTTAATGTACTATAAATGTGATATTTCAAATCCACAGGGCAAAAGTGAATTTTTCAGGAGGTGGTATAAGAATTACTGGTTATCCATGCAGGGAAAAAAATAAACAAATGTAGATCCCTGTGTAAAAATTAACTTATTTTGGGACATACTCCTCTTAACCATGCAGTTCAAAATGGAGCTGCTAACCTGCAGAATCCTCACTCCTACCACCAGCCACCAAAGTTTGAAGCCAAGCTGGGCTAATCCTAGCAGCCTGCACCCATGGCAACCACTGATTATTCCAAGGAAGAGCCACCTTACTCACTAGGTCAAACAGAGCCCTTCCCAGGCACTCGAACTTGGGAAAGGATAAGGAGAGAAAAGTGCATCAAGTCCAGTCCCTCTCAAGAGCATACGTAAGATGTGAGCATAGGAACTGTAAGCAGCCATCCTTGTAAGAATTTCACATTTACACCATTCCTTGATTCAAAAATCTCCTCCCATTACAGACTGCTTCTATCTTCTTTCACAGCTAAGCTATTCCTATCTCTTCATCTCATAGAGCATTTTATGATTCTCTATCTTGGCACATACCAAACTGTTTAGAGTTGTCAGTTTATTGTTCACTCATACAACCAACACTTTTTTGACAGCACCCCTTTCTGGAGTTAGAGCTATACCATCACTAAAATCAGCCTCCTGCCTCAAGAAGCCTATAGACTGGCAGAGGGTGGAGTGGTTGGGCCATGTGCCCTACAGACAGACTGCCTGGGTTGCAATTTGCCAGTTATTACCTTTGTGACCTCAGCAAGACACTTAAATTCTCTGTGCCTTTGCTTCTTCATCTATAAAGTGAAGCGGATGATAATACTTGTGAGAATTAATGTGTTCATTAAAGTTTGGAATCACACCTGGCACATAGAGATCAAGGATAGCTTCTTTCAATTCTTTTTTAAATTGACAAATAAAATTGTATATATGTATGGTATACGACATTATGTTTTGAAATATGTGTACATTGTGGAATGGCTAAATCAAGCTAAGTAACATATGCATTACCTCCCATACTTACCATTTTTGTGGTAAGAACAGTTAAATCTACTTTCAGCAATTTTCAGAAATTTCTGTTGCAAATACGTTGTTATTAGCTATCATCACCATTACAATAGATGTCTTGAATTTATTCCTCATATCTAATTTAAACTTTATATCCTTTGACCAACATCTCCCCAAGCCCCTCCCTTCCCCCCCACAAGCCTCTGGTAACCACAATTCTACTCTGTTTCTATAAATTCAACTTTTTTATATTCCACAAATAAGTGAGATTATGTGGGACATGTCTTTCTGAGCCTGGCTTATTTCACTTGACATAACGTCCTTCAGGCTCAACTGTTTTGTCACAAATCACAGGATTTCCTCCTTTTTTAAGGCTGATTAGTATTCCATTGTGTATGTATGCCACGTTTTCTTTATCCATTCATCTATTGACGGATACGTAGGTTGATTCCATATCTTGGTTATTGTGAATAGTACTGTAATAAACATGGGAGTGCAGACATCTCTTTGACATACTGATTTCATTTCCTTTGGATATATGCCCAATGATGAGTCTGGATCATATAGCAGTTCCATTTTTGGTGTTTTGAGAAACCTCCCCACTGTTTTCCATAATGGCTGCACATTATGGAATTTACAGTCTCACCAACAGTGTGGAAGAGTTCCATCTCTTAACTTTCTCACCAACAGTTGTTAAATTTTGCCATTTTGATGATAGCCAAACTAACAGTTTGTAAGGTGATATCTCACTGTGGTCTTAATTTGCATGTTCCTAATGATTAATGATGTTGAGCATTTTTTTATACACCTCTTGGCCATTCATATGTCTTCATTTGAGAAATGTCTATTCAGGTCCTTGGCCTATTTTTTAATCAGGTTATTTGGGTGTTTTTGGCATGTAAGCTTCTTAAACATGCTGAATATTAACTCCTTAGTAGATGTAGAGCTTACAAATATTTTCTCCCATTCCATACGTTTTCTCTTCACTCCATTTATTGTTTCTTTTTGCTGTGCAGGAGGTTTTTAATTTAATATCGTCCCATTTGTCTATTTTTGGTTTTGTTGCCTGTGCTTTTGGAGTCATATTCAAAAATTCCTTGCTTACTGTGGATGAAAAGCTTTCTCCTGGGTACTATGTTCACTCTTTGGGTGGCAGAATCAATAGATGCCCAAATCACAGCATCACACAATATGCTTTTGTAACAAATCTGGAATTGTACCCCATGATTCTAATTTTTTTAATGGTCGCAACAGGGTATGTAATGTTGCAAAATTATTATGATGATGACATTTCACCTTGGCATAAAAAGAAATGTCTGTTGAAAATAAAACTCTGCAAAAAGAAAGAGAGAGAGAGAGAGAGAGAAAAGAAAGAAGGAAAGAGAAAGAAAGAAAGAAAGAAAGAAAGAAAGAAAGAAAGAAAGAAAGAAAGAGAAAGAAAGAAAAG